TCCTTGCTAGCCAAAAATGTTGAACCGAAGGCTATGCGTACTCGGTATCTTTGTACTACATTCGAAAGAGATTCTTTGCTCAAAGAGATTGATAAAGCCGATGCTGAATTGAACAAAATTGCCTCCGAAGTCATCATTGAAGATTCTTTGATGATAAGCTTGGCTGCAGAGATTAAGGAACTTCAAGCGAAAATAGATGACTGCAAGGCTATGATGACTGCCAAAAAGCGCAATGCTTCCCAAGTAATAAAGCGAATCAAGTCTTTGGTTGAATGTTACAAAAAGCTGGAGGTTGATGACAATGTGGTAACCGAAATAACTACCACTTCTTCTAGGCAGAGCGATGATTGGGTAAGGCTTAGAGAACAAATGCATTCGACTTGGGGCAAACTATAATTAAGACATGTGATGCCTTTGTTTTTCTTTTGTAATCTTGTACTAGTAGCTGTTCCTAATTTTGGATGTAACGGTAGCCACTGTCATTAATGAACGACTATTTTATTTATTTGCATATTAATTGATGTCTTCCTCAATCGTCAATCCCCAAGCATTTAATTACCTTATGCTAAAACTCATGTACATTCTTCGGTATTCCCATCTCTTTTTCCAAGACTTTGGGTGATTTAATTTCAGTTACTATGCATGTATGTGGCCGTTCGTATTCTATCTTTTCATCTTCACGCCTCTATAAATGCGTATGTGTTCCGCAATTATCATCTTCATTTCCATTCTTTTATTCCAAAAAACTAAATTGCTGCCATCGTTTGACATCTCACACAATAGATCAAACATTTCCCTCTTCAGTAGAAATGGATCATTTGATCTATTGTCAATCTTGGTATCTATCTTGACATCACCTTTGGTATGGGAGATATATGAAATGTTATTTGGCCAATGAACGTCTTCTCAGCATCTCCCTTCATGTTCTCCATAAGGAGTTCAATTATGGAAGGCGATTTAAGAATGCCTTTGAGGCCACTTAGCTTGCTGAGAGTGCTTCTCAGCCTCATTGCCTGCTCTTGCAGCAATGCAATTAGGAAGGTGATTTGCGAGTGCTTTTCAGCCTTTTTGCCCAGTTGAGAGTGCTTCTTAGTCTCTCTGTCTGTCGTTCACCAGTGCGATCAGAAAGGTAATCAAGGCCAGTTCACCCTTTTACTTTGTAATCGACCGAAGAAATGGTCTGCTCCCAATTGTAGCTTATAGAGCATCTTGTACTTTGTATCTCACAATTTGTAATGAGTATTTGATAATAAAAGTATTTATTTGAACGTATTTCGTTCTTGTATCATTTATTT